CCTCTGATTTCTGTTTGAAATGCACACTAGGGGTAAAGATGTGTACAAAATTAGTTTCGCCACATGACTAAGACTTCCTATTGTCCCAGTGCCGCCATCAACTGCGCCGATAAGTGTTGGTTTTGCGTTACTTTTGTGTTTCATGGTGTTTCAAATTTCTGCAGTGATACACTTTTTAAGCTGCAGAACATAACGTTGGTAATTAAGGGAGTTTATTATTGCGGCGCGACTCGGGCGATAGCATCAACCATCTAAATTATCACTCTAGCTACGCACCTACGCACCTAGGTCACGATTTCCGGTGTCGGTGATCATGATTACCCGGGGAGGGCACTTGGGTATTTTTTGGGTGGGTATGTGCCGCCCGGGACTCCAAATTGGCACCCCGTTCTAAAAAAAAATTCCCCTGAAATTGATACCCCGTTCTAGAAATGGGCCATTTTTTTATACCCCGTTCTAGAATTCGCCCTAAAACTAAAACCCCGTTCTAGAAATGGGCCCATTTTTTAATTTTATATTGCGTTCTAGAAAGTTTGTAAATTGAAATAGCCCTGTTTTTTTAAAAAGCTATTTCTTTATTTGTTCGACTTATACATCAAATAAATACTTCTTCATAATCAGCAACAATTTTAAGCAGAGGATAAAGCCGTGATCCACAATTTTTTATACCCTGTTCTAGAAAACGCCTCTGAAATGGATACCCCGTTCTAAATCAGGAGCTTCAAAATCACGACCCCGTTGGGCGGCACATACCCGTATGGGTAATGTATGGGAGTACCCCCCCCCCCCGGGGGGTGATTATCGATGACTTGTTTTTTAAAATTTCATGGCGAGTTTCCAGTTCATTGAAAGCACGACAATTCGGTCGCATACAGTGGGATGGCTTAAAAAACAAGAATCGGTGAAATATCCATATTCAAACTACCCCACTGAACAGCCAAGCAAGGCAGAGAAGAGGCAGACGTGACTGAAATATAAGCCGCGAAGCAAGGGCACCCAACTCACGGACTAAAGAAAATCGCTTAGTTATTCATATCCAGAAGGCACTTTGGAGAAAATTGGAACCCTTATTCAGCCGTAATAAAAAAGCTTTACGCTTCAAAAGAGGTCAAAGAAATTGCGCTTGCATCAGAGGGCAAATCCTGCCGACCAGAAAACAATAACGACAGTCAATCGATATATATGTCATGACCTCTCAGTGTGAAACATGCGGCTAAAATCACATTTGCTCAGTATAAATGCAGAATTGAACCTTCCAGAGCATAATCAACCCAGCAGATAAAAACAACTCTATTGGAATAAGCAGCATTTTGGCATGAGGTAAGAGTCGTGTGGGCCTACCACCCCCTTTTATTGTTATAAATGTAATTCTTCGAAAACAAATTGGGATGTCCCGGAGCTTTTCTCTATTCCCCCCCCCCCCCACCCAACAACTGGAAGATGTTCACGCGCCATTTGTTTTTTAAATTCTTCTTATTTGTTTTAATGACATTGATTGCATCGATTATTACCTTTTCCAAAAAAAAAAAATGGAAAAAAAATGTTACCCTCGACCCTCGACTTGGTGCCCTCGCCCTCGACATGGAACCCTCGACCCTCGACCCTCGACAAAAAGATAGACTCGACAAAAACGACGTAAATAGCAAAACCGGAAAAGACGGACAATATACGAAAGTGATAATGGGCAAAATTTGACAGGCTTCACTTCTTTGACACTCATAGCTTGACTACAAAGGCGGTATACACACTAAAGATCCATTTTTTTTCAGTCAACGCTAATAAATTTTTAGTCAAGGCAAAACTAAATTCCCGCACCCCGCTATTTTCCCCTTACGATTTCCGCATCCCATCCCCGTAAAAATAGGAATTCCCGCTCCCGCTGGTTATTAAAATTCCCGCATCCCGCTCCTGTTTTCAGCTCGCATCCCGAGTATCACCACGAAAAATGGCCAAATCCCGCATCCCGCCAAACCTATTGTGGACCCTCTTTCCCGGCCGCCAGCTAAATGCGGCGTCACGCAAAAGCCTGGAAATTCAAGCGTCCTTTTGAACCGAATATTTTTTTGTATGAAGGTTTTAAGGTGTTCTAGTATCACATGAAAGTAGAAACTCAGAGGAAGCGATAGTTTCTTAGTTTGAATTTTTGGTAGCGTCATGTGAAAACCAAGATATGAGGGTCCATGCAAATGACAGTAATGAGTGAAGGCTTGATTCTAAATTCAAAATATATTAAAATGGGTCGCGAGGAGGGTGGTTTTCAAGCTTTACTCACACAGCTACCTCTTGTAATTGTACTGTCATTTCCATAGACCCTCGCCCCACAAATTATTTGCGACAAAATATTGCTTTCTCTGATACCCGGAGATGATACGAGTTTCTTTTTCTTTATTTCTTTCTCTCTCAGTTTTTTGTTATTTTAGGTTATTATTAATTTTAAAAAATTATTTTATCATTTTTTTTTTTTTTTCATGAAAATTATTTTTATTTTTCATGTTCCGGGATGTTCCGGAATGTTCCCGCATGTTCCGCAATGTTCCGTGTGCCTGGTTTTATCGACGCCCTCAGTAATACGGGGTAAGATTTTGTTAGTAACTCTTAGGTAAGCATTTGTATGAGCGACCCCAGCGAGCGTCAACACCGAAAACCGCGCGACTCCTTTGTGAAAATCTAAACTGACTTGGGCCGCTCGCAAAAATTAAAACAAAGTCAAACTCTTTTAACCGGGTTACGTTTGGAAGGATCTAATCATTACCTAGTTATTTAAAAACTAATCCGGTTAAACAGATTTTTCTAAGTGCGACCGTAGCCTTTGAATGAAATAAGTAAAACTGAAATTGGAAATTACGGCTGGTGTTTGTGAATATTTACAGGCAAAACATCCAAACATTAAGGCAAAATTTCAACATGACTCATTTAACTGGTCAAAAACTTTTCTTGAGTGTGGTGGCTCCTAAAAGAGCCGTTGTTAAAATGACAAATCATGGGCAATTTATCACTTTGTCCTCCAGTTCGTCCAAGTCTTGAAGAAGGTCTTCGGTTCTTTTCACCACTGAAAGGTAATTCACAATCACAGTAGATAAATCCCCAGCTGAAAGAGCTGCAATTGTCTCATGCAGCGTTGCCTCTGTTTCAGTAAGCTCTTCCAGTAAATCAAGGCGTTCATCGTTGATGTAATTGAGAATTTCAAGCTTTTGATCCATATGGACTAAAATGGCGTTTTTAATTGAATAGAAATAGCGGTTCTCATACATTTTCTCTAACGGCCAGCGCAAAAATTGGGCTCTCTTTTCGTTTCGCCATGCCCGCCGGAATGTAATTTTCAAAGCGAAACGAAACGAAAATAGAGCCTGATCTCAGGTTAGACGTGTACTGAAGGTGAGTTGAAATTGACATACGGGACGTTTATTTGCGGAAATTTAACGTGGGCTCCTGACGTGGCAAGCAACATTTTAAAGCCCTGTTTTTACAACCTCGTTCCCAGGGTTCTCTCCTACCCGCCCTACGAGGAGAGAACCCTGGGAACGAGGATGCTGTTTTTAAAGAAATGAACAACTGACTTTAAACTGTATAATATTCATCCCTGGGTATTGTTATTCATGATATTATAATAAGGTATGGAGAGTCAATCTCACCTGGGACAAGCCCAAGACAGACTTAATTGACGGCATGAATAGGTAATCTGAAACCCCACTTACTCGCTGGGGGTGGTGGGTGGGTCGCCAATCACCTTCGTGTCGGACAGTGAAGTGAAGGGGACAATGCATGCCAGTGTTTCCTATTATATATACTCATTTGCATATCATTAATTAATCCCCAGGGATGATATTTACAATTCAGATGGAACGTGAATAGTACAATTACATCCGATTTGATCTGATTTTTGAGTGCAAAACAGAAAAGAGATGTTTTTAGTATTCTCCTTTAATATTATTCAATAATTTCTGCACTTCTTTTTACAGCAAAATTCGTCAGGAGGCCATTTGTAGAGGGATAAGTGGCCCTCCACTAGAAGCGATACTAAAATACGTAGATGGCGTCACCTACGCGCTTAAGGGGAATGTGGAGAAGCATATTCGAAGTGGATCTTTCCACCAGCGGGCCAAAGACTGAAAGACAAATTCAAGTGGTACACAAAGCCAAGCCAAACCGCAAAGTCAAACTACTTTAACTCGATGCGTTTCGGTATCCGCAAAGAAGAATTACACCCGCCTTTTCAACACAACTTTTTCGCTGGTTATGGCAGAACAGCCATTTGGAGATTTCCCATTTGCGATTAAGATGCAAAAAAGAAATGGCTTGGAATTTTTACCAGCCATGGATGATGAACATTCTTGTTCCATATTTGTCCATTTCTTGGTAGAAGCTTTGAGATCTGATATCAAATCAATCCCGACATTATCAAATCTTTTGGCTGGTGAGGTGGATGGTTCTGAGGCCTAGCCTGTGTACTGACGTCCCCCCTCCTTCGAAAAACGAAGGATGATAAGAAACTTATCTATTGCAAAGTTGTGATTCGTGGGCAGCCAGTAGAATCGTTTCTGAAATGTCAGAAAATGGCTGACTTTGGAGGGGTAGATGCACAAAGCAGGCATTTGATGGTGCCTTTTTACAAGATTTTGAAGTATCAAATGAAAGATACGAGAGTCTGTTGATTGCCGTTTGTGCAGATGGAGCGGAAGTCAACATGGGGAGGAAAAGTGGTACCTGTACGGAATTAAAATCGTTAAGAGCGTGGTTATTGATTATCCACTGTGTTAACCAGACTTGAACTTGCTATAGGGGATGCCTTCTTAACGTCTAGATGAAATGATGACAAGTATTTACTACTTATTCCGAAACAGTAGAAAGAACAAGAGGCTAATGATTCGCCTGGCACAGAGGCTGTCAGTTACATTGATCTCATTTGTAAACCCCAAGTGCACCAGATTCCAAGCTCATCACTACCATGGCATCAGAGTGATAATTGCAAACTACCTCTCCTTGGGTTGTTTGCCGAAAATATGATTGAGGCCAACAACAATAAATGCAAGCCAGACCTTAAAGCACAGCTAAAAGGCTATCTAAACCAGTGGTTGGCGTACGGGTATCTTGGAGCTCTAGAGCTACATCGCAGAGTCTTGTGTCTTACTTCCCATCTCTGTCTGGTCACTACGGCAGGGTCAGGGTGTTCTCATAACGGATGTACTGGATGGTCTAAAAGATTGTATGCAAGAGTTGAACCATCTGGAAACTTCAAAAGAGTCAGTGTTCCTCTTCTCAACACAAGTGGATGACTCAGCTGATCACGTAACAGCGACAAATCGTCCCGCTACCACACAGTTCAAAGGAAGAGCAAAACTGACAGAAAGGCAGAAGAAGGGAGCAGACAAATGCATCACCAAAGTAACAGAAACCTTTGAGTTGAAGAAGGTGGCAGAGGGAAACAGAAGGTTCAGAAGATCAAAACAAACCTCATCCCAGCCATTGCTTTATGCCTTGATGAGCGGTATCAATCTCTGCAAGAGCCAGTCATCCAGGCAATGAGAAATTCTCATACAGCACGCGAGAATTTACCGCGCTTGGTTGCCCTCTGAAATTTATTCGCTATTGCTTTCTCCCATTCTTGACAATACCATATTTCGGAACGATTTCAGAGGGCAACCAAGAGCGGTTAATTCTGGCGAGCTGCATGGGAATTTGATTTTGTGCTAAACTCGAGACAATAGGAAGTGCCAGAGCAAAACCTTAGCCGAATATATGACTTTGCTTCAATATGAACTCACTTTTGCGCCCATGTTAGACAACTTTAGAAGTTTTCAATCGACACGAAATTCGGGGACTAAATAGTACACTGATCAATTAATGTACTAAAAAAGTTTTTAAAAAATCTATCGACGAATTTTGTTCATTTTAATCACTGTTTTCGTGAAAGTAGCCTTAGAAATTACAAAAAGAGCTCAGCATTGCGTTTTACCCTGATTCATACGTTTTCATGTGTTTCGAAATCGCGCTAGTGTACTTGCGTTCAGCGGCCTCTAGAGTGTATAAGGGGTCATTTGCAAAACGATTCAGTGATAAAAACGTTTCAGAAACATCCAAAAAGTAGCAAATTTGTCTGCATCAGGTCCATTCTTCAGTACATGCATAATTTATGCCCTTTTTATAGAAATTCCAGGATATCTCGAAATTCCTCTTATAGATTATTGTAAAACGTAGCACAGCAGAAGACATTTATCCAAAGAATACGTTGAGTAAGGTATTTTAAAAGAAAATGCCAAACTGGGCTGAAATTCGATTTAGAGCTAAAACCATTGTGACGTCATTACCACGTGACAGTTATTCCGATTGCCCAAAAAATAATACCATAATAAAGTTTAGTCTAAGTGTAATCCATGTGTCATAATCGTTTTACAATACAGATCGACTTGTTGAAGTATATAGGAGACTCAAAGATGGAGGGTGTGCCTATAAAAATACTGGGTCGAGCCACTTAACAAATGGTACCCCTTTCACGTACCTTGTTAAGAATTTTGCATCCCTATTAACTGCTGTAAATGCACTTTCGTTTAAATAGGAATCAATCACAAAAATAGAACGTTTCGTCTACTTTTTAAAGCCATAAAGTCCATCTGTTAGCCTTTTTGGGCCGTTTTACAGATCCAAATAACAGATTTTCCTACCCTTTTATATACTTCAACTAGTGAAATCCCTATCCTTTCTTATACCTGAAACCTGAAAATGGTAGCCCTTTCGGGCGGAGCTTCCCCGTTTAGGCCATCATAGGGAGTACTCCTCCCCCCCGGAGGAAGAAGTACGGTTGATACCATACCCTTTTCAGATTTATTGTTTTTTTGTTTTGTTTTACGCGTCGTATGAATTGGCCTGTGATCTGGCGTCCTCCTTCCCTTTTTCTTTAGAAGGCGAGAAAAAAAGGTTACTTTTTTCCCTTGCAAGTTACGTTGTAAACAGCGGCCCCGTTCTTCATCTAATGGCCGGCGATGAATGCATCCGGATTACGAAAGGTTAAAGATTTTCCGCACAAACACAGCGGCCACCACTTAGCAACCCTGGTGAAAAAACTTGAACACATGGCGTCGGGTCAAAGGTACCTTGGCAACCTGGAGCAAGCACCCTTCACTTTTTCTTCAAATAAACAAAACGGAGTGAGTGAACACACAGAAAAGGTGTGAGAGAAAAAGAGAAAACACGGATACTCTGACCACGAGAAAAGGAGGGATGACAGTTTGACTCAGATAAGCTACATTCAACCTAAACTTGTACCACAAGAGAGAGAAAACAAACCGAATTTCACATGTTTTCTCTAAAATCAACCCGGTTAATCTGAACAATGGATACTTTTTTGTGTCCCGAGTGACAAAACTCTCATTTTTCGTCAACGCAGCTTTACGGACAGTAGTTATCTGTGCAATTTCTATGACTGAATATGTTTACCAGCGAAAACCAAACCCTGAGAAACGAAGAATCATTTGGCCGCAATAAAGTCACGGATTCCATTATAATGTTTGAGCCAAGAAGAAAAGAAAAGAAAAGAAAAAATCCGCCAGGCACACAGTGAAAGTGCGTGGAAAAGATTGAGACCAAAGATGATGTAATTAAACTTCAGCTAGAGTCAAGTGAAGAAGCTCCATGCTTACTTTGTATATGATGAGGCATCTAAGATTCTCTAAGGCGCGTTTCAAAAGTCGTGCTTCTGCTGTGCCGAACTAAACTGATCGAGTTAAATTCGACTTAGCAAGGCAGTAGCCCGACGTTTGAAACCAAGTCGTGCTACTGACGTGTCGAACTTGTCGCTTTTCGATTTGTCAGCTCCTGTCTGTCGAATGGGCGTCGATGAAACATTCCAGATCATCCTGAAACATACCAGAACATGCAAAACTTAAATTATTTCTTTTGGAAAAAAATTCTTTAATATAACAATAATAATAATAAAATAATTTTTGCAACAATTTATAATAACAAAATAAGAAATAACATAACATAAAAAGCGAAAAATAACTAAACAAAGAAAAAGAAACTACAATCGACGACACTCAACTTGGGTCACACTGCTGTGATACTTGTCTTTGTCTCTTCCAATATTGTTTTGAAACGCCGTTGTTGGTTGGACTTGTCCAATTTCGAGGAGAAAGGAAAAGAAGGTCGAGCACAACATGTCAACGATCCAATGATCCAAGTTCTAATGTCACAGATTGTGGTATCATCTCAGAGTATAAGAAAACAATATTTTGTCGCAATTAATTTTTTGGGCGGGTGAGGGTCCATACAAATGACAGAATGAGTGAGGCCTTGCCTCTAAAGTCAATATATATTAAAATTGGACGTGGGAGGGTGTTTCAAGATTTTCTCACACAGCCACCTGTTGTAATTGTTTGCCATGTGGTTGAATCATTTGACGGTTATCAATTTACGGCTTTGCGACTTTAATAAGAGCTTAGCGGCCGGTGGCTTTGGATTTGGACAAGATTTACATTCGTGGTGAATAGTTTCAGCGGTAGTGGTTCCGCACTGTTAGTTTCTAACTGTTACCAGTTAGCCTGAATTTCAGCTATCTCCCGGAATCGCAAGTGAAGTTTGCAATCCATTTATCTGCTGCAATGCTTGTTGTTTTGGATTTTGTGACGTTACTGGATTTTAGCGGACAAGATTTCATTTTGGAAACATTAATGCCTACTTTCTTGAACTAAATCCTTATGTTAATTTGCGTCGGGTACCAAAGTTGACTATTCGTCCCACATAGCTGCAAAAAAACACAAATACAATAATGACCCAATAATGAATGGAACTAGAACTTTTATGGGAGGGGCCGTTGTGATTCCCGTGATCCTGGAGATCTGTACAGCCCCCGAAATGATCCCCACCCTAAAATGATCCTCAAATCGACTCCGAAATGATCCCAATTTCTATTCACGTCGACCTCGAAATCATCCCCAGTTAATGTTAGGAATGGAAGAACTGCTGGCCCAGAACAGACAAGATTGAAGGACCTTCGTTGCTGCCCTTCATGCCGCGGGCCGTTAGTAAGTATAACTGAACATGGGAAAAAACCCAATTCGAAAGGAGTTGAATCCATTTCCACAAGAACTGATTGCTGTTCAGGGGAATCAAGAAAAATTCCGTCCTTGCATTCACAGCTGACTTGTAAAAGTCATTACAGAGGATGCAAATTTGAAAATGGGTTACCTTTTTTGGCCCCACAGAAAACTAAACTGCTACGGTGGCTTATATCAATGGTAGAAATTTATTTTTAAATTAAACATCTTCCCGGGATTCACCAACACTGTAACGGGTCTCTTTTGCCGGTAGCCCATCTGAGACTTACCTTCATTTGGTGAGCCTTATGCGTCAGAGGAAACCGGTCGTTTCGCCAACGGTCGTTTCGCAAACGTCTCTGGTCAGTTCGCAAACGTGTAGAAGTCAGTTCGCAAACGTTTAGAAGTCAAGGTTCTGTTTGGTGCCAACCACGCCCAAGTGGCCTTCATTAGCAAGTGCTAAGGTCCTTGGCTGCAGTTTACTAGGAATAATCATGCGTGTACCTCTAAGCACGAACTGACCAATGACACACAACTCCCCCGCCACTGTCATAAACTAACTACACTTTTCAAACCACCCCGTTGCAATAGCCTTCCTCACTTTTCTCAGCTCTTCATCATCAGCACAGGCCTTTTCTATCTCACGGGTCGTGAGTGCTGTTGGTGTTGCACTTACACCAACAAATCTAACATGCTCTTCAGTACACCGCTAGTGGTTGTCAGGTTCAACCTTCCTATAAAGTAGTCACGACAATGGATCAGCAATGTTCTCGCGTCCAGGCCTGCGTACCACACTGAAATCATATGACTGTAATCTGAGAACCCATCGCTCTATCCGTGCACATGGTCTTGACCGTGGACCATATATGACCTCTTAAGGCTTGTGGTCGGTCTCTACAACAAACTTCATCCCATACACATAGACATGGAATCTCTCACACGCCCACACCATACCCAGTGCCTTCTTCTCTGTCTGGCAATATCTCTGCTCGCATCCGATCAAACTACGACTTGCATAACATACCGCTGTCCATGCACCGTCCTTCTCCTGTACGAGAACAGCGCCCAGCCCAATTGGACTGGCATCCGTGATTATCTTATCTTGGTGGGTGCCAAAGTGTAAGCTTCTGCCATCTTCTGTTTGAGACATTCAAAGGACTTCTTCTGCTCCGACCCAAATTCAAAGGGTGTCTCTTTCCTTGTTTGTCAGCCTTCGCAGTGGTTCGGATAAAGTGGCAAATTGAGGTATGAATCGGCTACTGTAGTTGACTAAACCCAGAAAGCTACGTACATGTAAGGCATTCTTTGGTTCTTCCACCTCTAATACTTCTTTAACACGATCTGCTGTAGGACCGATTCCTTTGTTTGAAAGCAGCATACTCATGAACACCAGCCAGTCCGTGTTGAACAAACATTTCTCAGCATTTAAAGTGATACCGCACTCTTTCAGACGCTCTATAGTTTGGTGGAGTCGCCTGTTGTGTGTTTCTGTGT